TGGAGTAGTAAGGGTGTCACAAACATGCTTCTGTCTACTCCAGATACGAAGGTATTTCCTACAGGAGTTGTATTTAATTGTGAATTGATGATGGGGTAGAGGGTGTCACAAGAACAACTCAAATCTAGCTCAAAAACCAACATTCAACAACCACCCATAACAAATCATCACATTATTCCACATGAACCCAAAATCCCAACTCTTACTACCGTCCACTCAAATTTGATCTACACAACAAATAATTTTAAAAGAATTATACCACATACGACCCATACACCACTCAACAACTCCACTAAAAGCAAAAATATAGCTTCCCTTACCTCAAAGTATCATAGAATCGAGGTAAAATAAGAGAAACAAGACCCTACACCAGACCAACGATTTGATTCAAGGCTTCCATGACCTGAATCACCACAAAATAACTTAAGATCAGCTAAAAGAAGAAGAATCTCATGGAAAGGAAAGATTTGGGGAGAAGAAGTCGACAAACTAGCTAGAGTCCTTCTCTTTAGAATCCTCTCTCTAAATTTTTGAGGAAAAAAGTTTATAAGGTTGTATTCAAAACAAAAACCTTATATACTCTTTTCTCGGGATCAAACTGACCCTTTACCTAAAAAAATTTCTAGCACTACTAAAATTCTTAAGAGATCTTCAAACCTCAGAATCTCTCAACACTAAATAATAGCTCAACTTAATAACACAAAATAATTTTAAAATAATTATAATACCTTACGATTTACAATATTTTAAAATTAATTAATTAAAATTTATAATTTTCAATCATTAATACATAGTGTTACAAATAAAGAAAGTATCTCACTAACATTTATACTCGATCAATGGGTACCACAAAAGAATATTAATAAGAGAAAAACATCGGTTCCCTTCCCTTTCCCTCTATAAAATTGTGAGTTTAGTCGAAGGGAATTGATTAATACCGTTCCTGTTCTAAAATAAAGAAAATTATATGAATAAATTGGGAATGTAAGTTGTTGTTGTTGTTGTTTTTTTTTTTTTTTTTAATTTTATAAAGCAAGTGAATGTACATTATTTCATCACAAATTGTTAGTATATAAAAAGTTTACAAACTTTTATTGAAAAAAATTATTAACTTTTATTATATTTTAAAATCATATTAATGATATTTTTAATTAATTATAAACTTATAAAAACTAAATTCAAATTAAATTTATAAAAAAATGATTATATGCTTCGAGATTTAATTATAAATAAAATTAATTTACTTATGTATTAATTAATAACATTAATTAATATCATCTATTGAAAAAAAAAATTTCGTCCTGGAGGATCATTCATTGAAATTTGATATTAAAAAAGTTATTACAAATAAAATTATAATTAAATAAATGCTTAAGAATAAGGTTCAAATTATATAACTTCATATCACCTTATATGTATATATTTTGTTTTATGATAATGAAGTATCAAATCATTTTGAATTAATATAAAATTTTGTACATATAATCTAGGAGTGAAAAACTTTTAATATAACAGTAAATTTTGGAAAACTTACATTTAATTAAAAATTATTAAGTGATATAATAGTCGATAAAAGTTACATCGGTATCATTTGAGTCATTCTCAATGTTCAAATGTGTTTTTAGTCATTCAAATTTAGAATAAATTTATTTTTGATATTTTAAATTTAAAATTGATCCATTTATTCACTGTAATTTGAAGAAAAAAAATTGTTTAAGTCTTAAGGTCAAATTTCATTAGTAAATATGTAAAATATTGTTGTGCAAAAATCACCTACTTTATCTTTGTTATTAAAACTATTATATTAAACTTAATCAATACGGGATAACTGTCTCAATTTATCACAGTAAATATGTTATTTGTTACTTGGAGATTAAAACAAAAAATTTTGAAATTTGAGAAATTAAAAACAACAATTTTTACTTTTTTTTTGTAAAGAAAAATTTGGATATAAGATAAGGCATACATCATATAAGACTAAAGTCAACCAACAACATTCTTTTAAAAGACAAAAATAAATTTACTCAAAAATTAAGAAACTAAAAATATATTTACACTTTATATAAAAGATATTTTAGATACGATAATCTTAAATAAGATAAATTAATTAAAATATACTTATAATAGTCTTTCATGATTTTTTTATACTAATATTTGACTGTACAAGTTTAGACAATAATCAATTCAAACATAGAAAAAAAAAATAATCAATAATTATTTTATGATAAAGGATAAAAGTATAACCTACATTACAAATATGGACTTTCCTTTTCCCTTTCTTACAGCATTCAAAACTCCATATTTATTTTTAGATTTTTAAATGAGACTCATATATGTATACACATCATTTTTTTTCTTCTATATTTTATCATTTGAGTAACTATTATATCCAATCTATCATCTCTCTTTTACTTTTTACACATCTTAAATACATCTACTATTACATAATATATATTTTTATCCTTGCAGTCCATTTTAGGTTTTACTTTTTTACTGCACAATCATTATTTACCATTAATATATTCCTACTCATGCTTAACATGCATTAAAAATAGATAAATTATTCCTTTAGTCAATCAATTTATTCATTTTATTCTTTTATTATTAAAGATTAATTTGATCTCTTAATTTTTTAAAATACATTTTTTATTTAATTAAAATTAATAATATTAAATTTTTATTAAATTATGTAAAAAAACAATCTTAATATTGAAAAAATATATATATCATTTTAAAAAATTAAGAGATTAAATTGAATAATTTAATAATAATAAATTTAAATAAATAAATAAATCAAAAGAGTACTGTACCAAGAAGTTCTTATTGGAACCGGTTGAAGAAAAGGATAATTAAGACGTGGATACTCTTATAATACTTATTTTTTTATATTATATATAGAGAGAAGGAGAGTTTCGTTTATTTGAAAAGTTAGTCTAACTAAATTTATTTTGTTCAATAATTCATGTTTTATATCAAATCTCAATTATTCAACTGTTGAGTTTAAAGTTCTTTATACACAAATTAAATCTACAAAATTTATAAATCATTTGATACTTCATTTCATTAATTCAAATTGACAGATAATTATAAAATCATTTTATACATTGATTTGAATTAATAAAATGAAGTATCAAATAATTTTTAATTTTTTTTTTAATTTTATAAATTTGATCTATGTATTAAAAATTTTAAATTTAACGATTAGATCATTATAATTTGATAAAGAACATAATTATTAAACATAATAAGTCTAAATAGATTTATTTCAAAAATAAACGAATCTCTGATGAGATATATATATATATATTATATATTTATATATATATATTTATATTTATATATATATATATATATATATATTTTTTTTTAATTGCTAAAAGCTTAATTATGATGATATTTTTTTTAGAACAATTATGATGATATTTAAATACTCTCTATTTTATACCGCTTGCTAGCACCTATTATTATTCTTTATCACTTCCGTCTTATTAAATTACATATATCATTTAATATACTAATATTCCTCCCTCATAGCTGTCTAATAGGTTGGTTGGTGTCCAAAAAGTAATTTTTTTATGTTCCAAGGAATCACAAATTATTATATCCATCTATTAATATTTTAAAAAATCTATAATAAAACATTTCTAATTATAAAAATTAAAAGAAAAAATTTATAAACAAGAATAACTAAATTTATTTAAAGTAATTGGTATAAAAATGATAAACTTATACTGTAAACAGCCTTGACATAATTAGCATATTTTAATTAAATTAAACACATTAAACGCGTAAAAGCAGTTAAGTGCTAGCATAAAAATCATCAATGAGAAAAAGAAAAGAAAAAACAGAGACATTTTTGGAACGAGTCTTGAAGCGAAGTGCTTCACATTACGATAGAGCATAAACATTCCACTCGTCGTCCCTTCAATTCTGACACACACTTACACTTGCACTTACACAGATACGCACACCCCAGTTGAAGCCAAAAATTGGAACCGGTTGAAGAAAAGGATAATTAAGACGTGGATACTCTTATAATACTTATTTTTTTATATTATATATAGAGAGAAGGAGAGTTTCGTTTATTTGAAAAGTTAGTCTAACTAAATTTATTTTGTTCAATAATTCATGTTTTATATCAAATCTCAATTATTCAACTGTTGAGTTTAAAGTTCTTTATACACAAATTAAATCTACAAAATTTATAAATCATTTGATACTTCATTTCATTAATTCAAATTGACAGATAATTATAAAATCATTTTATACATTGATTTGAATTAATAAAATGAAGTATCAAATAATTTTTAATTTTTTTTTTAATTTTATAAATTTGATCTATGTATTAAAAATTTTAAATTTAACGATTAGATCATTATAATTTGATAAAGAACATAATTATTAAACATAATAAGTCTAAATAGATTTATTTCAAAAATAAACGAATCTCTGATGAGATATATATATATATATTATATATTTATATATATATATTTATATTTATATATATATATATATATATATATTTTTTTTTAATTGCTAAAAGCTTAATTATGATGATATTTTTTTTAGAACAATTATGATGATATTTAAATACTCTCTATTTTATACCGCTTGCTAGCACCTATTATTATTCTTTATCACTTCCGTCTTATTAAATTACATATATCATTTAATATACTAATATTCCTCCCTCATAGCTGTCTAATAGGTTGGTTGGTGTCCAAAAAGTAATTTTTTTATGTTCCAAGGAATCACAAATTATTATATCCATCTATTAATATTTTAAAAAATCTATAATAAAACATTTCTAATTATAAAAATTAAAAGAAAAAATTTATAAACAAGAATAACTAAATTTATTTAAAGTAATTGGTATAAAAATGATAAACTTATACTGTAAACAGCCTTGACATAATTAGCATATTTTAATTAAATTAAACACATTAAACGCGTAAAAGCAGTTAAGTGCTAGCATAAAAATCATCAATGAGAAAAAGAAAAGAAAAAACAGAGACATTTTTGGAACGAGTCTTGAAGCGAAGTGCTTCACATTACGATAGAGCATAAACATTCCACTCGTCGTCCCTTCAATTCTGACACACACTTACACTTGCACTTACACAGATACGCACACCCCAGTTGAAGCCAAAAAAACACTCCTACACCCTCTCTCTCTCTCTCTCTCTCTCTCTATATATATATATCTCTTTTGCTTCTTCATTCTGAATTCTCAAGTATTAATTCTCATACACCACCCCCACACCCACACGTAATCGAAAACATAATAACGCGTCTTGGCTACACCTCCTCCCCATGAACACGCATGAGATGTTATAAGAACGCCACACACACCCACGCTACACCCTCTTCACATTCTTTGTGATCCAAAGCAATGGCCAATTGGGTTCACAATTGCATGCCCAAGAAACCAAACCAACTCACAAGACTCTACCTTCTCACATTCACCACCTTCCTCTGCACTGTCTTCTACCTCCTCGGCCTCTGGCACCACTCGCCGCCCTCCCTCGCCACCATCGCCGCCACCCACCGCCTCGCCACCCACAAATGCCCCACCGCCAATTTCAATTCGAATTCCACCGCCACGCTCGATTTCCTCCCCCACCACTCCGTCTCCGACCCTGAGGCCGCGCGTGACTTCCACGCGCCGCCGTGCGCGGCGGAGCTCTCGGAGTACACCCCCTGCGAGGACGTGCAGCGGTCGCTGGGGTTCCCGCGCGAGAATCTCATCTACCGGGAGCGCCACTGCCCCGCCGCGGGGGAGCTTCTCCGGTGCCGGATTCCGGCCCCGTTCGGGTACCGCGTCCCCCTGCGGTGGCCGGAGAGCCGCGACGCCGCGTGGTTCGCTAACGTGCCGCACAAGGAGCTCACCGTAGAGAAAAAAAACCAGAACTGGGTCCGGTTCGAGGGGGACCGGTTCAAGTTCCCCGGCGGCGGAACCATGTTTCCACGTGGCGCCAGCGCGTACATCGACGACATCGGAAATCTCATAAACCTCAAAGACGGGTCCGTCAGAACCGCTTTGGACACCGGTTGCGGGGTACGTATCCGTGTCTCTCTGCATTCTTGAACCGGTTCGGCTTTTCTTGAACCGGTTTTGAATAGGAGACCGTTTTCTATTTGTTTTACGTTACTTTAGTTTGCGTTACTTGGTTCACCTTCTTTTCATGGGTGGTTTAACAACTATGGCAGCATCGTGGATCCTGAGAAAAATGTGATTGGTCCACCCTTGACCAATTGGGAAAAAAAATTAACTTTTTATTTTTTGGTAATAATTAGAAATTTTGTCTGATTTGAAACGTTTTAAAAAGAGAATGTGCGTTATTTGGGATTGTAAATCACATATACGGAATATATTCTTTCCTTTGATGCTTTAAGAAAATGCATTTTTATGGGAATATTTTATCATGAGATCAATTGGGTAGAAGAAAAAAAATATAATAATAAAAGGATAGACGAGTGACTGATAAAAATTAAATCCCTCAATTTTTGTGTTTTAACATCTTCTCCTCATTTTTTTTCATGTTTGACTTTTTTTTTGAGTGTGGGTGTTTAATATTTCTTTTTTGCAAATTTGCCTGTTATTGGCCTCTAAGTCCTTACCACGTTTCTAATATATGATTGTGATTTAGTTGGCTGATTTTTCCTCTACGTGTGATGAAATTTTCTTTTGATTTATTTAATCAGAGAAACCGGCCGTGATTAGATGAACATCAATGCTTGAAAATACATAGAGATGACGTATAACGTTGTAGTTAATATATATACATATATATATATTCAAGCAAAAGGTTGAATTCAACAGTATCAAAAACACCCAAGTGTCAGTCCTATGTCTACTTGTGGTGGAAGGAAAGGGGAAATTGGAATCACATAGAACTAGTTTGCAAAACAATCAACTTGATTCTTCAAACCGAAGTAAAGTGCCGTCTTGACTAAAGAAAAAAAAAAGTACGGGCTACTTAGTGAAACATAATTTTTTTTCTCTCTTTGATGTCTTATTCATTTGAATTGAACAAAATGTGTTCTTTAATTCACTTGGTGCTAATCATCATAATCATAATATTCTTGGAACTTATGTTGTTCGTTGAAGAATTAGTGGAAAGCACAATGCGAGATAATGGTGTTAGATGTTGATTACTAACCACCCGTCTCAATTATGCTTCCTTCACCTGATTTACAAGTTACATCACCAGCCTTCATAATTAGAAGACGACATTTTTATTGGACCCGTAAAGCTTATTTCTTATGGGATCAAGCTGTGACAATATGAGTAATGACATATAATATATTAACATCATTTTTTTTTTGTAACATGGAATGTATGTATCTATTGAAAATTTGAAACACACCACAAACCAACCACTATTGACCTGTTTCATTACCAGAAGTTCATGTTTGGTTGACAAAGTTATTCATTTGGCCTAATGTTAGAATTTACTATTCAGGTTGCAAGTTGGGGAGCATATCTTCTGTCACGTGACATTTTAGCAGTGTCGTTTGCACCAAGAGATACACATGAAGCACAAGTTCAATTTGCTCTCGAACGAGGAGTTCCTGCATTGATTGGAGTTCTTGCCTCAATTAGGCTTCCTTACCCTTCAAGAGCCTTTGACATGGCCCATTGCTCACGTTGCCTCATTCCCTGGGGCCAGAATGGTACATCCATGCTTCAAAACTCGCGTGTCAATATATATCATAAAGAAAACTACACTTGACACTACTTGTGATTTTCTAAAATTACACTGACATCCATTTTTTCTTTTTTTTAACATTTACAATAACCTTCCTTGTTAGAGGTCGCAGTAATCTTTTTTAAAATAATTAAAGAAATTAATATAATATTTTTCAAACAATTGTAAAAGTAGTAAAAATAAGCAGTGTTTGTGCGATATCATGAAATGTAATTTAATATATGTGCACATTTTAGGAGTCCATTTTGTGTGTACTAAATTTTTTTATGGTTTTGCAACGGTGATTGGCAGAGGGGATTTATTTGAATGAGGTTGATCGAGTGCTACGTCCTGGTGGGTATTGGATTCTATCAGGGCCACCAATTAACTGGGAGAGCCACTGGAAGGGTTGGGAGAGGACCCGTGAGAGTCTCAAAGATGAACAGGATACAATTGAGAAAGTGGCAAAAAGCCTATGCTGGAAAAAATTGGTGCAAAAGGGTGACCTTGCAATATGGCAGAAACCCACCAATCATATTCATTGCAAAATAACTCGAAAGGTCTACAAGAATAGACCTTTTTGTCAGGCACAGGATCCAGACACAGCATGGTAATACGACACTTTTTTAGTTATACAATAGGTTTAATGTCTAGCACTTTCTCATAAAATGTTTTACACCCTCAACTAATTAAAAATCATGATTATATCTCCAAAAATTTTATCATACGTGACAGTCGATGATTAAATCACTATTATTAGAGCATAGATTAGTTACTTTTTTACAATTATTGTCATGAAAACTATATAGGCATGCAATCTTAGGCGCTACATTAGCATGTTAGGAAGATAATTCTGAATTATCAGATATTGTAACTTTATGTTGATAGTTTTGGGGAAAGATTAAGTTCCAATCATCACTGTTAGTTACGTGTGCTATTGATTATGCTTTTGGGCCTAGCTTTTGTGGTTTCTCTTTTGACAGGATAAAAAACAGATTATGCTTGCTGCCAATGAGAGTTTAGGTAGTGATACCAAAACCACTTGGATGATAAAGTTGTTAAAGTGACTAGTTAGTGTAACTAAAATCTTGTGTTGCTTTCTCACACACTCCATTCATCCTGAATCTTGTTGATCAGCACAAAAGAGAAGATTCTTTTTGGGGGCGAGATATATAGTTTGTTTTATCTTTTATGCACTTTTTTCATTGCAGGTATACTAAAATGGATACATGCTTGATGCCACTGCCAGAGGTGAATGACGTCAAAGAAGTTAGTGGTGGTGAATTGGCAAAGTGGCCTGAGAGACTAACATCAGTTCCACCAAGGATTAGTAGTGGAAGCTTGAAGGGTATCACGGTTGAAACGTTCAAGGAAAACAGTGAGTTATGGAAGAAGAGAGTGGCATACTACAAGACACTGGATTATCAGCTAGCAGAGAGTGGTAGGTACCGTAATCTGCTTGATATGAATGCTTACTTGGGAGGCTTTGCAGCTGCACTTATTGATGACCCTGTGTGGGTCATGAACACTGTCCCTGTTGAGAATGAGGTCAACACACTTGGTGCCATTTATGAACGTGGATTAATTGGAACCTATCAGAACTGGTATGTTTTTCTTTCATTTGCCAAAGGGTAAATTAGTTGAGGGACTCTTTATAGGGAAAGTAGAATATAGTTGGGTAGCAAGTAGCTTTCTCATTGCCTAGTTTGGTGGATTAGATTGATTAACTACATATCTCACGTTGACAAGTTTATTTTTTAAGTAATTTTTTCTTGACCCTGAAAAATTATTTAAAAATGCAAATATTTACTTAAATCAAGTTAGTTGATATTCCAACGTGAATTCTGAAAAAAAAAAAAAAAATCAACGTAAAACTAACCACTCACCTATGCATTATTTATTTAAGGTGATTTTAAATAGAAAAATAGATGAGAGAGAAGTGCGGAAGAGAGAAAACTTTGGTAGGGTCTACAACAAAATAATGTTTTCCCAAAATGAAGAGATTTAAATGGGATAAGTGAATACAAATAGTGGGACCTATTAAAAATTGAAATGATATATTTACTATGTTATTTTGAATTATATAAATATTTTCTTAAGAGCAAATATGTCTTTATAACACTATGATTCTATTTTCTCTTACTTCTTTCTACTTCACTTTTTTCTTCTCAAAATCTTTTATCACAGGAATAAAAGCATTGGTCAAAAGAGTGTCCCTTATTAGCAGCTTTATGAAAAAGAGTTTAATTGCATATTATCTCTCTGCTTCTATGCTAAACATTACTAAAGTGCTACCAACTTCTGTCCTTTACTGTAAACAGAATACTGTTCTTACAGATACGGTTGTTTTCAATATAGTATTATCAAGGATTAAAAAAACCAAATCTTTGTGTTTACACTTTTCAGCACATGGTAGTTGAAGTTTGCTGCTAACTACTTTTGTCTCCTCTCAGGTGTGAAGCCATGTCAACTTACCCACGAACTTATGACTTCATACATGGTGATTCTGTTTTCAGCCTCTACCAGAACAGGTAAAATTGTCAATTTGGTTAGCTAAAAGTTTACATGGATGGTAAATTAAACTTTGAAAATCGACAAATAACTATTTCAAGGGTGATTCAATAATTTGAAAATTGATAAATAATTCTCAAACCTTTTAAATATTTTGTCATTCAATTAAATTGACTATTGATGTGATACCTTAATTGTTGACATGATATGTTTATCGTTAATATGTTACATTAATAACTTGAATGTGTGGCAGATGTAAAATGGAGGACATTCTTCTTGAGATGGATCGAATTTTGCGGCCACAAGGTGGTGTGATCTTGCGTGATGATGTGGATGTGTTGTTGAAGGTGAAGAGTTATGCAGATGCAATGCAATGGGAAGCCAGAATTGCAGACCATGAAAATGGGCCCCACCAGAGAGAAAAGATACTCTTTGCAGTTAAGCAGTATTGGACTGCTCCACCTCCTCACAAAAGATCAACATACAAAGCTATAAATTGATATATGCTTTCTGGACTCAAGATTTGTGTAATTTTTTATTTCGTGTTCAGATTTTTTCTTTTTTCTTTTTTTCAGATTTCCATTCTTTTTTGACCCCTTCTTTTGGTGGGTGGTGCAAAGTGAAAATTTCTTTACAGAAATTATGGCTCTGAAGTTTTTTATTTTTAGGTGACTTATCTATCGTGTAATACTTGTCCAAATTTGTCAATCAAATGAGAGATTAAGAGTGAACAATGGTAGCAAAAGTTCCAAATAGTTTAGTACAAGTATTTACTAGATACAAAGGCCTCGAGTAGATAATTTTTTCTGTAAGTAATTATAAAAATAAATAATTAAACTTCTTTATAAATTAAAATTATTTTAGACCTATATAAGTTTAAAATATTAAGCTTTTGGAAAAGTCAAATGATAAAAATTCTCTAAATTAATTTATACTTGAACTTATTTTAACTTTTAAAAAGGAACTATTTTTATTTTTTATTTTTCTTTTCCCGAGTACTTGTAGAGAAACATATGTAAGATTTTTAATAACATTTTGTGTTGGTAAACAAAATGGCCCTCTATCATGGCGTGCATACTTTTTTTTTTTCTTCGCATAAGCTAAGATTATTTTCCTTTCTATAACTTAATTCTATTATTTAATAACATTATAACTTAACTCTCTCATCACTAACTTCTAAGCAAATTAAGCAATACTAAAACAAACATATAATGAAATAAAAGACACGTATCAATCGAGTTTTGATCATTTAAAATTGTTTTAATTGTCTTAAAAATCAGATTTTTTTCCTTTCTAAAAGTTTAGGGTTATTAAATACAGTATTAAAAAAATAGTTATTGAATAAAGTATGTATATGTATTTTGAACAAATGTTTATACATGCACGTGCTCCAATATAAAGTCATGCATGCATTTTGAATCTAGCTAAAGAAAGCTAATCTCACAAAAACAAACTGCAAAATAAAGTCTCCAAATTAAATGTTCCTCGATGCTATATAGTTACTGATAGCCAACAAAATATATTAGTATGTTCTTATCCAATAATACTACACAAAGATAGTTTGAGGTAAAGATAGAAACTTTTATATTTTAATTTTAAATATATAATTATATATATACATAATAAATTTAATAATGTCATGTGTACGATTTGGGTTCAAAGTTTTATTCTTTTTATAAGTAGTGTTAAAATTTTTTGTTGTGAATTATGCTTTCTCTATATAGTATATTTGATACATTAGAGTTACAAAATTAATTCATTTTATTTTCTTAAAATCTTTAGATGAATTTAGTTTTTAAAGCCTGGACATCATATTTAAATAATTAAACTATATTATAGTCTTTTTGGCTTAGTCCATTATAATTCGTGGTTCATGCTAACTCACAACGGGTTGAGTAGCATAGTTTACCAATTCTTGATTTGGATAACTCCTAAACTCAAATTGATTCAAATCAACTCAATCACTTTAGGTTATTTTTTTTTAATATTTAGGTCAAATTCAATCCAACTTGTTCAAACTCTATCATATAAATGATTATGTTACAAATTTTAATTTAAAACTCAACTATGTTACAAAATTATAGAAATAATTTATTTAACAAATTTCATTTATGTTTATTAATTTTATATGATATGTCAAGATTCAAAATTTAATAATTAAATTCATATTTTGATTAACAACTCAAGAAATTATTCAACTTTGAAACTCTAATTTGACAAAATTATTACATAAAGAAAGTGTAATTAATAGTAGGAAATTTTAAAGAAATTTACTTTGTTTTTAAAAAAAAATAACACTTTGGAAATATATATATAGAAATATAAAATTAATTATTTACCGAACTATATATAACTTTATTAATTAAATATGATATGTCAAGATTCAAAATTAAAAAATTAAATTTGTAATGAGACTTACAAAAATTACAAAAAAAAAAACAATTTTAAAACTCTAAATTGTCAAAAGCAATTTGTAAGGAAATATAAATAAGGGTAGAAAATGATATACTTTCAATTGTAAAGCATCAAATACATTTATGTATTTGTATTTTTTTTACGATGAATTTACTTTTTCATAAGATAAGATATTTATCACGGTTCAGTTAATAGGCAACTACAAAAAAAAATCCTTAAAAGTAAGAGAAGATATAGTGGAAATTATAACATTATTAAGTCACAACTACATACAAGATTATATAAAGGGCACACACTTCCCTTCATAAACAGATCAAAATAATTTCTTTTAACCTTACTGAAATTTTGTATACTAGTAATGTCACAATCATCACTAAAGATTGGGGAGAATGAGCCTCAACAACCTTCATCTTGTATTGTTGTTGAGTTAAATATAAAGAATGAAAAAGATAAAGAAGAACAAACTCTAGTGTCATCCAAAACAAATCTCAATCTTCATGATGATTTCAACCTCAACTAATTAAGAATGGGTGGATAAGCCTCAATTTCAACCTTTACAACAATCATTTTACTTTATTGTTAAGCTAGAAACACTACGAAAAAAAATTATGTAGTGCTATAATACTTGTTACTAAAAATTATTTTTACCTACATTATAAATATAATATATGTTGATATATTATTAAAAATATAGGTATAGTCTAGGCTATATAGTGACACATATATATTAAAATCAACACTAAAATCGTATGTAGTTATATGTCAAATATATTTATACCTACATATATTATATTTATAATAACACTTTTTTTTTGTATATCACTATATTTTTTTTTTTGTAGTGATAAAAAGGTTGAGAAAGAGAAAGAAAAACAAACTCTAGCACCTCCTAATTTCAATCTTCACAATGACTTTAACCTCAACCTATTGAAGAATGGGATGCATGAGCCTTGTGTTCAAGCTCAACATACAATTAAATTATGATGTTGTTGAAACACGAAACAAAATGAGAATGAAAAAGAAGAACATACCCTAGCACCATCCAACCCTCATCTTAGCAATGACTTCAACCTCAACCTATTGAATATCGAGGAGGATGAGACTCAACTTCAACCTCAACAACCATCATCTTGTTTTGTTGTTGAGTTACACAAAGAGAATAAGAAAGAACAAACCCTAGTGCCTGCCTCCCAATCTCAATCTTGATGATGGGTTGTACCAAAATAATCTCTTTCAACCCTAGAGCTTTTGTATTCTTATTAGAAATGTCACAACCACCATTAAGGAATGAGTAGACAAAGCTTCAACAACCTTCATCTTGTGTTGTTGTTGAGTTACATAAGGAAAATGATAAAGAGAAAGAAAAAAAATCCTAGAGCCTCCCAATCCAATCCTAATATTGTATTGTTGTTGAGTTACATATAGAGGATGAAGAAAGAGAACAAAGAATAAACTCTAACCCCTCCCAATTCCAATATTGACAATGGTTTCAACCTCAACCTATTAAAGAATGGGACAAATGAGTCTCAACTTTCAGCTTAAGAACCATTATATTGTGATGTTGTTGAGTTAAGCAAAGAGAATCAGAATGAAAAAATGAAGAACAAACCCTAGTGTCATCCAATACTAATCTTTACAATGGCTTCAACTTCAACTATTGAATAATAGGTGGATAAGCCTCAAGTTCAACATCAACAATCATCATCTTGTATTATTATAGGTATATACCAACATATATTGTATTTATTGTGTAAGTAAAAGTAGTTTTTAGTGACACATATTGTATCATTATAGGGTGTATGTCACTATATGACAGTTTTTTTGTAATGTCTATCCAAAAAGACTAATATGCCAATTCTTATCTTTTGTATTTGATAATTTTTTTTAAAGTTTTGATTCAAGGAAACATTGAAAAAACACAAACATATGATATAAACACAACGTCAAATTTACTGTCATTTTGTTCAAGATAAAGTATATTTTTGTGTCATTAATTTGATTCTTATATCCATCTTTTGCACAACTTGTTAATGTACATATCAATCTTCTTTCTCCTATTGTTTTCTATTCTTTCATCTCTAAGCTAGACATGACAAATCTATGTATGTTCCAGCTTGAGATGACTCTTAAAGTAGTTTGTTATTTTATTAATTAAACTTGTTGATATCTTTATATTTGATGTATGATTACATGTACTCAATCCACCTCATGTAATGTTGGATTTGTGGATATTATTATTTTCTTTTTAGTGGTTTGAATTAATGAAGCAATAAAAAAGGTAATAATATTTGTGTTTATAAATTTAATATGATATGTGAATATTCAAAATTTAAAAATCAATTATTAATATTGAGATTTAAGAAATTAAAACAAATTATTGAACTTTGAAACTCTAATTTGTGAAAAATATTATGTAAGGAAAACATAATTGACAACACAATTTTTTTTAATGAATTCCACTTCACTTATAAAACTGGTAATACTTTGAAAATATATAAGAAAATTAGAAATTAATAAATTATTATCAAATTATATTTATATTTATTAATTTGATATGATATGTTTAGATTCAAAATTTAAAAGTTAAATTTATATTCAGATTTAAAAATACAATAACTTAATAAACTTTGAAACTTTAATTTGTCAAAAATATCATGTAAGAAAGTGTAATTGATAGCAGATATTTTTAATGAATTATTTTTTCTTATAAAAAGTAATACTTTGAAAAAGTATTTGAAAAATTATAGAAATAAATCTTTTACCACATTATATTTTTAATTTATTAATTTGATATAATATGTTATGATTCAAAATTTAAAAATTAAATTCATATAGAGTTTTTGGAAATTAAAATAAAGTTAAAAATAATAGCCGAAACCAAGAGGAAATTAATTGTACCTTTAAAAAATTTAATCCAAAAACTTTAAAATATGAAACTTTTTTGAAATTTTTGTTCAACCAATCAATTTGGCTTTTTATGGGATAAAGATATTGAAAGTGGATAATGCAATGTCATCGAATATTTTCTTACCATGAGATGAAGATATTAATGATCAAATATCAAAATATGTAATTGAGAAAATAAAAGTGATGGTAAGAGAAAATTTTAACACTAAGTTTATATTAGTTCGACACCATTATTTTGATCTATATTTAGTTTTTCAATTAATTAAATTGATATTCCACCATACTTTAATTTATATTTTAAATTAATAATAATAAAGATAATTGCAATGATAACAATACATGATAGTTTTAATTGTAATAGTTAATATAAATTATTTATTTTAATCTGAAGATTATTATTTGTTATTCT